ATCATTGCTGAGATACCTGATTTTGAATTCAAGGTGGAAGAGAGGAATGGATTTCATTACCTTGTGGATGTTTCTGAGAACTCTGGAACTATTAATGATGAGAGGCAAGTTTGTCAAACTAGCAATGACTCTTGTAATCATCAGGATTGTTTGTACGGTTGGCATTTGAAATTTGCGCATAGAAGCATGGAGAGTGTTGAAAGACTTTTGAAGGAATGTGGAATTTCTGTTGTGAATTGTGATAAGGCAAAGGAGAAATGTGAAACGTGTCTCAAAGCGAAGGGCACAGCCCCAAAATATTCTGGAAAATTTATGGCTCAGAATGTGGACTTTTTAGAGACTGTGTACAGTGATCTTGTTGGTCCACTAGCGCCATCCTGTGGCGGGAACAAAAATTTTGTTACTTTTTCTGAGAATAAAACAAAATATACTTTTGTGTATCTGATAAAGAGCAAAGATGAGACACTGAATAAATTCAAATGTTACCTGGCCACAATTAAAAATAAGTTTGGCAGAGCACCCCAAAGCTTACGCACTGATGGAGGTGGAGAATATTGCAATGCTGAATTTAAAGCATTTTTGGAACATGAAGGGATTGAACACAAGGTGACTATCCCACATTCGCCTCAACAAAATGGATCTTCTGAGAGGCTGAACAGAACAATTCAGGACATGTGTAGGGCAATGCTTATGCATTCTGGACTACCAAACAGCCTATGGGCTGAAGCTGTGAACACAGCAGTGTATCTACACAATAGAGTACCCTCAAAGCTTACTGGGACCACTCCTTTTGAGGCCTGGTTTAAAAAGAAGCCTGGATTAAAGCACATCAAAGCTTTTGGTTCCAAAGGGTATGCCCACATACCAAAGGAGAAAAGGGGAAAACTTGACCCCAGAGCTGAAGTTGGATTCGTAGTAGGGTATCCAATCGGTGGAAAGGGATACAGGATATACAATCCACAAAATTGCACAGTTAAGGAACGCAATGTTGTATTTGTTGATGAGAGTGATTTGCCAAGTGTTTCCAGTGCAACTGATCCACAGATGTCTGGGACTGCACCTGAAGAGTTGGTGACATGGTTACCTGTAGTGATCACCGGGGAACCGGCAGGTCTACCTTCTGAGGAAACTACCAGAACAGAAGGGGAAGCGGGAACCACACCAGAGGAGGCAGCAGAACCCACAACCAGTGTGAGACGGTCAGAAAGGAGCACTAAAGGGCAACCACCAAAGAAATATGGATTTTGTGAAACTGTGCAATCCGCAAAGGAGCCCAAGAACTGGAAGGAAGTATGCAACCTACCTACGAGTGAAAAAGACAAATGGATTACAGCAATGGAACAAGAAATACTATCCATTTACGAGAAGGAAGCATGGACTCTTACTAAGCTACCTCAAGGCAGAAAGCCTGTTGGATGCAAATGGGTTTTCAAAATAAAGCATAAAGAAGATGGAACTGTGGAGCTATACAAAGCACGCCTAGTGGCCAAAGGCTATTCACAAGAATATGGGACTGACTATTTTGAAACTTTTGCTCCAGTTACCGACCAAGCAACTTTCAGAACACTTCTTAGTGTTGCAGCATCAAGAGACATGGTTGTAGAGCATCTTGATGTAAAGACTGCTTTTCTCAATGGAGAACTATCCGAAGAAATCTACATGGAACAACCTGAAGGTTTTAAAGTCAAAGGACAAGAGGATTATGTCTACAGACTCAACAAAGGACTCTATGGGCTAAAACAAGGAGCAAAGGCCTGGTATGACAAAATTACTGGACTGCTACAGAAGCAAGGTTTTGAACAAGGGAAAGCTGAACCTTGTCTGTACACTAGAATTAAAAATGGACAATACCAGTATGTTCTTGTTTACGTTGACGACCTGATCGTGGCCTGTCAAAACAGAAAGGACATCAAAGACATAGCTGATGGACTGAATAAGGACGTGGAAGTCAAACAGCTAGGAGATGTACAACAGTACCTCGGAATGCAAATTGAGAGACTCGAGGATGGGACTTTTCTTCTATGCCAGAAACGAAAGATTATGGACTTTGTAGAATCTATTGGCATGAAGGACTGTAAAACATCATCCATACCAATGGAACCTGGATATCTGAAGGAAAAGAATGGACAACCACTCAGAGACATTGGAGAATACAGAGAAGCAGTTGGGAAACTTCTCTACCTGAGCAAAACCACGAGACCAGACATCACAGCGGCAGTTGGCACCTTATGCAGAAAAGTGAGTTCGCCTAATCATCATGATTGGAGTGCAATAAAGAAACTGGTGCGGTACCTGAAAGGAACAATGGACTTACAACTGAAAATTGCACCGTCTGAAGGGCCCAGACTAGTCGTATACATGGACGCCAACTGGGGAGAAGAATCGGACAACTACAAGTCTACAAGTGGATATCTATTTTTCTACGGAGATGGACTAATAGACTGGACTAGTAGAACACAAACTGTTGTGGCGCAGTCTACAGCGGAAGCGGAGTGTGTTTCAGCAGCAAGTGCCTGTAGTAGACTTGAATGGATTTTTCATATGTTAAAGGACTTTGGAATAAGAGAACCTGTACCTGTACTTATGTTTGAAGATAATCAGGCTTGTATTACCATATGTAAGGAAGAAAGCACCACAGCTAGAAGTAGATCAATTGGTATTAAGTGTGCTTTAGTGAAGGATTTGTACCAGAAGAAGCTGATAGATATTGAGCATTGTCGTACAGAAGAAATGGTGGCTGACATTCTGACTAAGCCACTGACCAAAGAGAAATTTGAACGTCTACGTAAAATGTTGAATATGATTGGTACAAATGTTGAATTGAATAATGAATAATATTTTTGTATGTGTATGTATGACTTACATGTCAGACCTTGAGAAGGGGTGTTGGAAATGTATGTGTTTACAAGGTCTGATGATTCAGACATTATAGGGTTAACTTGTATTCCTAGTTTGCTATTGTTTAGACTGACCTGGAAGGGATACCTGGCACTGAGCCAATGGGGAATTAGCCCGGGAAAAGTAGCTTCTACTGTGAAACAGATTGGTCATTTGTATCAGGTGACTTCCTTTCTAGGGGTCAAGAAGAAGGAGAGATTCTCCACCATTTCTGTGTGTGCTTGTTTTGATTATAGGCAGCTTAGAAATGTAGCTCTTAGTGTTATGTTAATTTGTAGTAATCCTGTGAACCCTTTACCCTTAGATTAAAGGTTTATAAAAGCAAAGAAATCTCTTCTTTCCAATAGAGCAAGATCCTTTAATAGTCTAAGTATTAAACACTTTTTGACTATTTTACAACAATTGTGCTGTGATCCATCCCGAGCCCGCTTGCGGGGAGGGTGGAATATAAATTTGAATAATAAAGAATAAAATAAAATAATGGTATAGCATTTCTATAGCTGAGCCAACATAGGCCTGAACAGTACATATGCAGGACACCACCCAGAACACCCAGTAAGCTGGTTGGAGCATTCTGATGGATTTGAGAATTGATAAAGTGTATGGAATCATGTTTGTATTTCTTTAATTGCAGGGATAGGTAAAGCTGTTTGACAGTGCATGGATGAGGGTATTGATCAAAAAGCAAAGGGTTTCTGATCACAAATTTTAGGACCTTTATTTTATTTTTTAAGAAATTATTTCACTAGTAGTTAAGAAAAAAATTATCCCATTTAGCAATTAACACCATTACATATTTTTAAAGAACAGCACCTTTCAGATGAAGAAGAAGAAGAAGAAGAAGAAGAAGAGATTGGATTTATACCCCGCCCTTCACTTGGAGTCTCAGAGCGGCTTACAAACTCCTTTCCCTTCCCCTCCCCACAACAGACACCCTGTGAGGTAGGTGGGGCTGAGAGGTATTGGTCAAAAAGCAAAGGGTTTCTGATCACAAATTTTAGGACCTTTATTTTATTTTTTAAGAAATTATTTTACTAGTAGTTAAGAAAAAAATTACCCCATTTAGCAAATAACACCATTACATATTTTTTAAAGAATAGCAGCTTTCAGATCTGGTGAAATAAATATTAGTTTCACAAGGAAAGACTTATCAGACATCTTTGGAATCAGGAAGGTTCTCATAAGAATGCCCAGTTCAGCCATTTGTATTCAAAAAGGTAATAAGACGAAGCACTTCTATTATCCAGGATCTTTGTGGCATTGGTGGTTTCATTATATTAATGGATTCTCTGTTTTGTTGGAAGGAATATGAATCTCTCTTCAGCATCTATAGAATAAGTCTTTTTATTTATGTATGTTTTGCCTCTGCTCAGCAGGACTTTAGATTCATCCATGTAATTACGCTGTGTAGGTTTGAGTTGACTTGTCTTTATTCTTCATAATTGCTGCATCTATTAAGGAGGGCTGATATTTTCCCAAAATGTCCTTGTTAATTACAACTATCTCCTTCATTTGCATAATAAACTTTTGGGGGGCTATTTTTCCCGGAACATTTCATGGCTAATAGGAAGCAATTTGCTTTCCTTTATTAAGTACATTAAAACTTCATGCCCCAGACATCATTGACTGTAAACATTTGATTCTGCTCAAATTTAATGCACCAAGGCATTTTGCTGTGCCATATTAGCTTTATTTATGTGCTGTGTTCTGGATTGTTAGCTACTAATGAGACTTCCGTTCTTATTGCTCTAAGGCCTGAACACTAACCTCATTTTAATGAGATCATTATTTGCTGTCTTCTGAATGGAAGACAACAAATTTGCCTTTTAATTAAAGGTCAAAACACCTCTAGCTAAGGAGAGTGGAGAGGTTATCAAATCCTTTGGGAACCTGTAGGAATAGCTTTTTCTCTCTTCCTTATTTCTATGCCAAGAAGATACAGGCCAGACTAGGCAAGGCGTATTACTCTGGAGGGGGAAAGTGCTAAATATAAGCTAAGCGATAAGAACACTAAAATGTGGTAGCTAGAGTTCCCAAGACATTGTGAAAAACGAAAGTCAGCCAAAGTAATTAAAGAGGCTTTACTCCTGACCCAAAGGTCTGTATGGATCAATACCTTTGTGGGAGCTGGATCCCTTGTTTGCATGAGGAATCATTTATAAAAGTGCAGAGGACAGATGCCAGATTAATTGAGCCAACAAAAACTAATCTCATATTTCTTATCAGAAAAAAGAGAGACTAACATAATCAATATCTGGAGTGGTTTTAGTAAATCATGCATG